ATATATATGCATACATGGGACATGTATGTATAATTGATGTATACATACATCAATTATACATACATATTCCATTTTAACTATTCCAGATAAATAAGATACGAAAAAATATTATAGATGAAAGACTAATTTCAAGGAGGATTTTGGTCACGCGTTATTCTTTTTCTAGGTGGAGGAGCCAAAAAGATATAAAAATTACCCCTACTTTTTGAATATTGTATAATTTTTTTTATATAATATGATTCCTGCAATTATTCTAATATAAAAGTATTAGAGTAGAACAAAAATGGTAGTAAAAAACCAGTAGCTTACGAAATATTTTGTATTTTCTAAGATATTTGCCGGCGTCACTTTTTTTCACGCTCTTATGACAGACACGCTCTATGTATATGTATATATATATATATATGACAGTTATTATACAAATCTGATAATTAAATGCCTTTACTCTAGGAAGAAATTATTACAATAATTAATTTATTCTCTCGATTTATTCTACCCATATCAAGTTGGTCATTTTTAAGTCGCATTAGTAATGCATAATACTCCAAGGAATTCAGAAAAAAAATACCTTATAATGCGTCATGCGATGGTAATATAAATTCGATGATGCTGTAAAACGCTTCCCACACATTGGACATTCATGAGGACGTTCACCAGTATGAATCCTAACATGTGTATTTAATGAACTGCTTGTACTGAACATTTTACCACATATTGCACATCCATGTGGTTTTTCGCCTGAGAATAGTTTTTTAAATGTTAACTACATGTAAGAATATGAAAGAAAAAGCTACTTTTCAAATAAATTTTTTATATTTATTATAAAACTCTTAGTATATGCTATTATTTATAACTTCATAAATGCTTGTAATTTTTTTTGTATTTCACGAAAAGTTAAATATCTGGATGAAAAAAAATTTAAAAAGTTAAAAAGTTTTTAATTTTATGTAATTTAAAAAGAAAATATCGTGGAGATGAGACTAAACACAGAATTAAAGTTCTATCTTTCCTCTTTAAATTTTTGAAAAAGAACTTCTCTACGCTTTATTTTCACACCAAGATGTTTAACTTTTCATGAGATACGAAAAAATCGCAAGAGTTCTCAAATTTATAAATGATATAGTATATATATGTTTTAAATTATTAGAAAGTGGCTAAAAGTTTTACAAAGGTTAAAAAATAAAAAGCATACAGCCACAGCTCAAGATGTCAATAAGTTCAATATTATTATTTTAACATGTAGACGTTTTGGTCAAGATTTGACCCTCTTCTCTATCGCATTCCGTCTTCTCAAAACAAACTTCGGATACATAAAAAATAGTTAAAAAAATAAACGGTCTACCCTTGCCGGAGGATTGTTTCGCTTGACATCTCGTCGATGTATTCCGACATTCCCATCGAATTAGTCTTGGGGAGTGTTTTGAGAAGATGGAATGCGATAGAGAAGAATACCTCTATCCCTTTTCAGGAATTTAAAAGAGCCATTTCCGTTATTTTAAATTCCACATTTTTTAAGTTTAATGAAGAATTTTACGAACAAATTTTCGGGTTGCCCATGGGATCACTTCTGTCACCAATTTTGGCAGACTTAGTAATACAAGACTTGGAATACAATATTTTTAATACACTTACCATTCACATACCTGTATATTATCGGTATGTGGATGATATCTTATTAGCAGCGCCTTCTAATCAAATCACTAACATCTTGAATTCCTTCAATGCTTACCACGAACGCATAAAATTTACGGTAGATTATGGCGATGAATTTGGAATTAATTTTTTGGATAAAACTTTTGTACGACAAGGGCAGGATTATTTTTGACTTGTATACAAAGCCTACTAACTCGGGAAGATACCTAAATTTGTTCTCTAATCACCCTACCATACATAAAAGGGGAGTGGTGATTACGTTATTTGACAAAATTATATTCCTATCCCATCCAAGATTCCATCACCCTAACATCGAATCCTTAATCAACACCCTCCTCCGCAACGGGTATCCTCTACAATTTGTATTTAAGACCATAAAAAATAGAATAAAAACTCTTTCCAGAAAAAAGAATTTTAATACTACAAGTGAACAGAACATTAACTCTAACGGTAACTCTTCGGTAATGAAAAAATATTTCACGATTCCTTATTTAAATAATACTTCAGAGAAATTCAACATAGCACTTAAAAAATTTCAATTTGAATTTGTATATAAACCGATGAATAATTTAAATAGGTTTATAAAAACTGGAAAAGATAAAATAAAAAAAGATGAAACTTCCAAGGTCGTATATCGGATCAATTGTAAAGATTGTGGTTATTCGTATGTGGGACAGACAAAAAGGAAATTAAAAACGCGAATAAAAGAATACATAAATGATATTAAGAAGAAAACTGTCAATTCCCTCTCTCGGTTATCTCGAGTCATAGAATTGAAACTGATCACGAGATTGACTGGCTGAATACAAAAATATTAGATTCTGAACGCTCGCATTACAAAAGAATGATCTCTGAAATGATTCACATTGACATAAAAACACAAAAAAAAATGGATTGAATGAACAGAGTGATACTGAGAAGTTTTCAGACCTTTACCTGCCTCTCCTTAAAAAAGAATTTTAGTCCCACTCTAAAATTCTTCCACTTCCCTTTCCTTCTTCTTAACTTCCTTCTCCTCCTTTTTGTTCCCACTATAAATAGACCTACAATTTCGAGCTTGAGGCATTGTGAAAGTACAGGTCAAATTATCAAAAAAATATATCAGTGTTCAAGTGTTGGACGAGTTCCGTGCCATGAGATACTCGTAAGTTTGTTAAATTCATTCTTAAGTTTAAGAAAGGTCTCTAAATATCTTTCTTTTAAAAAATTTAGTAAATTAATGGCTTTACATACAAAAAAATAAGATAACAATTAACTCACTTAAAAAATTGAATTTGTGTTATAATATTAGGTTGTTCGGAAAATAATTTCGTTTTTTCTTATGAAAATGAAAGACGATTTTCAATCAGACGCGTTTCAAATGATCATGAACAGTCGAATTCGATAAATTTAATCTCTCAGCGATCTCACGAGTTGTTATTCGCCGGTTTGCATCAATTAATGCCTTTATTGTGTCTTCATCAGCTTCAACTTGCTTTCCAGAACGTGGTGCATCTTCAACATCAAAATTGCCGGATCGAAATTTTGCAAACCAGTTTTGGCACTGGCGTTCTGTCAATACATCTTCTCCATACACATCGGATTATTTTTTTCTTGCTTAAACAGCATTTTTATCTTTTCGATAGTAAAAAAGTAAAATATGCCGAAAATGCTGCTTTTCACTTTCATATTTGATAGGGCACCAACCAAAAACTACTGCATAGAATCAATCGAATTTTTTTCACAAGCAAGCCTTGCTATATCAGCTGTCAAAATATATAATGATTATGCGGCTTAAGTGTGAAGTTGGCTGTGAAAAAATACAATAAGTCCTCTGTTGGGAAAAAACGAAATTACTTTCCGAATAACCTAATAGTAATTGGTACTTGTGTTTCTCTTCGCGTGCGGCTTGTTTTGCATTTTATATATGAAGATAATAAGTATGAAAAACTTTGCAAATATAGGAGACTTCTATCCATAGAATTTCGACGACTATTATCGCAGACCAATGAAAACGATTGCGTATAATTCGGATAAAGAAATAAAAAAATGCGTACATGCGAATGTTACAATCATCCTTCGAATTATGTATTTGATTGATCCAAATGTAATTTTTAATTACGTATATTGAGTCGGACTAATTTGTAAAAATAGAAAATATTAAAATTATACTATCTGTCAATTTGTTATTTGTAAAAATATGTTCTTTGTTTAAACTTAACGGATTTATCTACATGTTAAAATAAAATAATAATATTGAACTTATTGACATCTTGAGCTGTGGCTGTATGCTTTTTATTTTTTAACCTTTGTATATATATGTGTTTGTGTATACAGTATGTCTGGGAATAAGTTTTCACACAGCAGAAATTCCAAAAAATCAACGAATTCAGATATCAGCTTTTCTTTAGGCTTCTATACAGTCCTCCTCTCTCAATGTACGCAGTAGATTAGAATCTATTATATATCTTAGATCTTAGAGAAAGGATTAAAAGAATCTCTAATTTACCTGTATGCGTTCGCAGATGTCTTTTTAAAAGAGAAGGTCTGTCAAAACTTTTACCGCAAGTTTGACAGGGAAGACGTCGTTGAAATTTAAAAGTATTAGTAACGTTAGTTTTCCATGCAGTCCCGTGTCTGCTCAAGTCCAAGGGTGCATTCTGTGTTACGTTCCATACTATTGTATTAACATATTTATTCAGTTAGTTAGGTGGTAAAATCGTATCTAATATAAACCTACTCGTTTGTAAATAATTACATGATAAATTCAATAAATAGCATTATATAGTATGTCTTACAAGTTGGTCATGTGACTTTTTTTTTTATTGTTTGCATCAGTTAATTGTTCAATTAAATCATTAAAAATCTCCGACACTGTTTTAATAGTTAATAAGACAAGAAATATTTTCACACAAAAAATATGTAATTTTCAAAAACAGAAATATTTTGTATCTGTTAATTTATTATCCACTTCAACATATTTTTACTATAATAATTCAATCTCTATTAATAAATTTGTATCTCAACTATGTTGTACACTTACCGAACATTACGATAATTTGCTGTTATCGATAACTTGTCAATTTTCAATACACAATTTAATTTGAATAAAGTATTGAATTTAGGATAAATATAAATAAGTTTGACGTATCAAATTACATACTTCTTCACACGCGTAGTATATTACTACTTCGGACCAGATTAAACGCGTGATTAAAGGTAAGAAACGATGCAACCGCAAACGACTCTTCGGCGCATGTCAAAGGCGGTGTTTTTCATAAAGGGCGGAGTTTGATCGTCGTAAAATGCTTTACAATTGCTTGTGTAATATATCTCAGAATTTCTGTAAAACATTATTCTTGTTATAAATTGCAATAAATCAATAGAAGAATGTTACATTAAATTAAAGAGAATATAATCCATATGCTTCTGGCCATATCATTCACATAAAAAATTTCGTTTAAAGATATGAAAATTCTTTTTATCTCCAAAAAGATTTGACATTAACGTCGATTGTATAAAACTGGCGCAAAATCTTAAGATAATATACGTAGATCAAAACTGTTCGAGTTTTTAAAATATATTAATAAATTTTAAATATAAATAATTAAACATTCTTTAATTAATTTTTTAATAATCCAGTATGACTTTCAATTTCTGAGATAATATCGTTACATTATGCTACTGTTACCGTCTGGTACTAATCATTACCTACGACAAGGGGACAATATAAGTTTCACAAATAGCGTAGCAAGAAAAGGACACGTAAAAGGTTTAGACTCGTTTAATAATTTCTCTTATAAAAAAATTATACGTTTATCACATGATGAAAATTAATAGAATATCCAGATATTAGATCAGATCATACTTAGAAAATACCTTTTTATGCAACTTCGGAAACTTTATAAAGTTATGTAGAACATATCTATGATATAAAATCGTTTGATTTTACATCTCTCTGTAAACCATATAAAATTCTCAATCAGAGAAAAAAAGGCTATAATTTTATCCATCGTAATTATATTTCGTTAATGGCGTAAATGATATATGCGTAAATGGCGATTTAAATTTAAAATGCCATAAATCTTAGTCAGCTGACTTGCAAAAAGAGGTGCTTCCATAACCAATCTTCTAATTCGCATTCAACGAAAATATTCCTCGTTAAGTTTATGTTTATAATATTGCACGTATCTCAAAATCCATTTGTTTATAGATTTATACCACCGTACAAAAATACGTTTTATATATATATATATATATATATATATATATATATATATATCATTGGATCGCGAGACAGACTATTATATGGATAAAGCTTATGAATCGGGTACAGCTGATAGTGCTTTGTCACCGTACTCATTATTATCTATGGCATTCGCCTACGGAAGCATTGGCACGAAAGACGAGGTGAGATAATTCGTCGGTGTGGCATCGGGCTATCGGACGTCCTGCCGTGCAAAACCCTCATTTGTCAACGGGGAGGATATTAAAGCTATTGAATGTCTCGCAGGATCTTTACAAATCGGTTCTTCATCGACCATAGGCAACAATGTGTATATTTTTGCTGTGTAGTGGTGGTAGTATTATCGAAACTGATCGATTTTTCCGTAAACTGCCGCTAAACGTTCTCGAGTCTTTTTTCAGCTTAGATATTCGGATAACATGTTCTCAAAACAGTAAACCTGTTGACAGGGCAATTAAATTCCAAGTTTCTTCTCGAATTAATAATTCTCTAATTATAATGTTATACAAGTTTTCTTCAAGGAAACAGGATATCCTGTCATTCTCATGAAATATATGTATTCCATCCAATTTATTTTATCGTAGAATATTTTCTCGTGGCATAACGTCA